AGATTTTTAAAGATTGCATTAATTTTGGTGGTTTTAGCCCCACCCCTCAGGCCCCGGGGGGGGGGGGGGGGCAGGGATCATGAAATTCACAATTTTTGTACCCCTTCACCCATAGATGATATATGTCAAATTTGGTTGAAATTGGTTGAGCGGTTTCAGAGAAGAAGCTAAAAATGTTCAAATGTTAACGCACATCGCACGACGCACGCCGACGGACAAAAACGGATAGCAATAGGTCACCTGAGTGACTCAGGTGACCTAAAAAACACCAAGGTCTTGTTTTATCATATTATCATGGAATCATCTTCAGGTAATCTAGACACAAGTTTCTTCAAATCAGTGTCTACAGGGGTAGTATGAAACCACAATTGGATATCAAAGTTTTACATGGGAATAGATAGACATCTTTGAAAATCCTTTTTAGGTCTCCTGAGTCACTCAGGTGACCTATTGTTATCTGTTTTCGTCCGTCGTCGTCCATCGTGCGTCGTCCGTCGTGCGTCGGTCGTAAACTTTTGAACATTTTTAGCTTCTTCTCTTGAACCACTGAACCAATTTCAACCAATTTTAGCATATAGCATCAATGGGTGAAGGGGTACAAAAATTGTGAGTTTCATGGTCCCTGCCCCCCCCCCCCCTGGGGCCTGAGGGGTGGGGCTAAAACCATCAAAATTAGTGCTATCTTTAAAAATCTTCTTCTTTTCTCCTGGACATCAAGCAGTCAAACTGTTGGCATGATTGTAATAAGCATTGAGCCCTCTACCAAAATTGTGAAATTCATGGCCCCAGGGTCGGGGGTTCTGGTGCTAGGGTGGGGCTATATAGATCATATAGTGAAGGTGCATTATTTCTTTGAAAATCTTCTTCTCTAACCCTGGGTATTATTTAAAAAAACTAAGTGCATGGTTATGACAAGCAATGATGCCTTTTCCAAATTGTGAAATTCATGGCCCCTGGGTCAGGGGTTCTGGTGTTAGGGCGGGGCTCTATTGATTATATAGTGAAAATGCATTAATTCTTTGAAAATCTTCTTCTCTGCTCCTGGATATTATTTAAACAAACTAAGTGCATGATAATGATGCACAAGGATGATTTTTCCAAAATTGTGAATTTCATGGCCCCAGGGTCAGGGGTTTTGGTGTTAGGGTGGGGCTCTATTGATTATATAGTGAAAATGCATTACTTCTTTGAAAATCTTCTTCTCTGCTCCTGGATATTATATAAACAAACTAAGTGCATGGTTATGACAAGCAATGATGCCTTTTCCAAATTGTGAAATGCATGGCACCTGGGTCAGGGGTTCTGGTGTTAGGGCGGGGCTCTATTGATTATATAGTGAAAATGCATTAATTCTTTGAAAATCTTCTTCTCTGCTCCTGGGTATTATTTAAACAAACTAAGTGCATGATAATGATGCACAAGGATGATTTTTCCAAAATTGTGAATTTCATGGCCCCTGGGTCAGGGGTTCTGGTGTTAGGCCGGGGCTCTATTAATTATATAGTGAAAATGCATTAATTGTTTGAAAATCTTCTTCTCTACTCCTGGATATTATTTAAACAAACTAAGTGCATAGTAATGGTGCACAAGGATGCTTTTTCCAAAATTTTGAAATTCATGGCCCCAGGGTCAGGGGTTCTGGTGGTAGGGCGGGGCTATATAGATCATATAGTGAAAGTGCATTATTTCTTTGAAAAATCTTCTTCTCTACTCCTGAGTATTATTGAAACAAATTGAATACATAGTTATGATAAGCAAAGGTGACTCTACCAAAATTGTGAAATTCATGGCCCCAGGGTCAGGGGTTCTGGTGGTAGGGTGGGGCTATATTGATCATATAGTGAAAGTGCATTATTTCTTTGAAAATCTTCTTCTCAATTCCTGGGTATTATTGAAACAAATTGAATACATAGTTATGATAAGCAAGGGTGACTCTACCAAAATTGTGAAATTCATGGCCCCAAGGTCCGGGGTTCTGGTGCTGGGGGGGGGGGCTCTTTTGATAATATAGAGAATCTGTAGTAAAAATGCAGTATTTCTTTGAAAATCTTCTCTGCACCTGGACATATCAGAGGCAAAAAGAGTAAAAGTTTTAATAAAGATTTTTGAACATCTGGACCATTTGGTCAAGTGTTCTGGTCCTGGCCAGAGCTCTATTAATTTGTATTCAACTGAGAGGAGTTATTCCCCTTTGCCATTTACTTTTGATAATTAATCACTGTAAATGATGTACTTGAAAGGCTAATAGAAGAGGAGAATTATGCAAGATTTTTAATTGTATAATACAAAAAGTACTTTTATAGTTTAAATGATCAGGTAGACTTGTAAGTAATAGATAAATAAAAACGAGACAAAAATAACTTGTCTTATTCAATGTTCATCGAAGACCAAGAGAGTCCAATGTAAGAGATTTCATCAAGGAATTGAAATAGTACAGAATCACTGATAATTTGTTCATATACTGTATGGTGATAGTGATAAATGGGGAACAGATTAGAACCTAATTTATGAACTGTTAATGAACAGTAGACTAATTATTTTGTTGATCCTGATCACTCTATTTTTCTTGCTTTTGGGCAACAAAGCTTCACCTTTCAGTTCATTTTATACTCTATGGATCCTCTAAATTGTTGTATTATACTCAGGTGACCGTTAAGGCCCTTGGGCCTCTTGTTTTAAGAAGAGATGGGCTATGATTAATATGGAATGCCTCAGGCAGTGATTCATATGTGATCAAACAATGGCGCGTTGACGGGGCCAATTTTAAACAAAAATGATGCTTAACATCAAGACCATAATAAAACATATATGTAATAATACGATTTTGCAAAGCTTTCTCCTAAAAATATATTATCAATCAAGGGACTTGCCATTTAAAATCTAGTGGAAATTTATGAAGCCATACGAATCTTTATTGCAAAAGAAAGGAAAGTGAAGCTACTTCTTTGAGATCACAAATTATAGCAGAAAATGCCAGAGGATGTCTGAAACTCAGTATGTATATCAATGTAAAACGTTTGAATTTTATTAGGAGCAGGACATTTGCTGTTAAACAAATAATAATTGGATCAGTTAATGACTGTAAATTGATATGTTAAAAAAACTTTAAAATGCTTCAGAAAAACACATAAATCTAGATTGACAGAAACTAAAAAGCAATGTGGTACAGATATGTAGATTTTTATTACAAAATTCTTTAAATTACGTCATATTTTTTGGTCCATTATAATTAACTATGTAACGTTATTCAACACTTATTTCAGGTATTTCACTAGAGGCTGATATCAAAATATGATGCATATATATGAAAGTTGTAATGTCATCAAATGCTTGAGAAATGGTTTGATTTTATATCTGGATGTTTATTCCAGATTATAACTAAAGTGAATATATTAGTTAGTGAATTGCATTCATTTCATAATCAATTTGCAATAAATGAATCATATATAAATATCGTCTGAGCCACAGAGGAATTGCATGCATACCAACAGTTTTTTTCCTATTAGCAAATTACTCTCGAATTAACATTTTCCTGTTGTCGCCCATGTGGTGCAGTGGTTCGAATTCCAGTGCGGGACGTGGAGACTGGACCTTCCTATGAGACCATTTCAACCGAGATCCCAAGTCGCAGTATGTGTGACATGTAAAAGATCTCAACTGCTTTAAGGCCGCAAGTGCTGAGTACAGGTGTAACTTTGTGGTGGCGTCTCAATATGAGTGATATATTCTCGAATGGACGTTAAACAAACAAACAAAAAAAAAAACATTTTCATATCAGTACTCCTGTCCAAATTACGAGCGCGTGTGTGCATGAGAGAGAGAGAGTCTCAGGGAGAATCTTTGTTATATTTCTATTTGATCTACGAATCAAAAATTATAAATTCTTTAGAAATAAACAAAAAATATACGTGAATAATTAGTTCAATTTTCCTTTTTAGACAAATGACGCCAAAGGAAATTAATTGAAAAATGTTCGTGACAGGAAAGAATAAGTGTTAATTAATTTTGGCTAAGAGACAAGTTGTAATAAATTACACATTAATTGCTCAAACGATTAGTTTGAAAAGAAATCACGGAAATAAAAACAATATTGTGGTTATCAATGAAAACTATTTTATTGCATTGTAAATGTTGTAGATATTTTGGAATTTTGTCTTCTTAAATGTCATATTGACAAAACATAAAAAATAAACCCCATTGATTTTATGTAGTTTACATAAGGCATTGGTATGCAAATACATTAGTATGTTGATATTTGCAAACAAATTATTTTTTAAAAAATTGTGTTATATTTGAAACATTTATATGCAGCAGTATTATGATTTATGATTGGGGAGGGGAGTAAGACGATGAAAATTGAAACTTTTCGTTTGTAATAAAAATTTCAAATAATCCCGTTATTTTATATACCAGTATAATGTACCATGTATATTTTAAACATCAGAGTACATCTTTTTGTCTGTTAGCCGTGTAATAAAAATCTACAGCACTACATTTTTACGCAAGTTTGATGTTTCTGACATAGTTTTCAAAGCTTTATAAACTTTTAAAATTACATCTGATTTAATTTATTCAATGACATTGACTAATATATAATATTGTATATATTTTAATTTGACCTTTTATGAAAATTTTAATATTTGTGAAAATGAAATGACTGTCTTTCCACAAAAATCTGTCATTCTAATACCTATGTATATGTATATACGTCGAGAACCACATTCATACCTACTCGGAACATATGTCTTAAAATTTAACATTTACATCAGATTTCAAAGCTATGTAGATGAGATGTGTCACTCTTTCTTAAACCACTTTCTCTTGATGCATAAGATTAATATTAATAATACTAATGAATTCAACACTATGAATATGCTGATTGAATTTTGATACGTGTTCATCTCTCATCTCTGACGGCGATTAATAAACGATGGGTTTCATAGACGGATTTCATTTCTACGATGAACGAGGAATGTGCTCCATTCGTTACAAATGTTTAACAAAGATCAATTATCAATATATACAGTTCAAGTTGACCTTCAGGACAATATACAGATTGTAGAATGGATTTATGGTTCTGAAAATGAATACAACGTGTTGGATGCTTGGATATTTTGCTTGTATTCTGATTCATGCATTGTGTAGTAATGCGCAGCAATCCATGACGTCACAACCCAATGCTGCGTTACAAATGATTCGTCAGCATCTTCAACGTGAATCAACAATGAAAATTACTCTTTTGAAGACCTTGAAAGTGGTACTCGGTGATATAAAATTGTTAAAAGAAGAAAGAGAAAAGCACACAGCGTTGATAAATGCACTCAGGCAGGACGTAAATGCTTTAAGATCTAGTATAAAGGGCCTCAGGGATGTTAACAATGAACAAAATCTCCGCATTCATGCTCTGAATGAGAAATTATTATTACAGAATGTTACAACGATTGATTTATCAAAGTCAAATGAAGACTTACAGGGAAAAATTGTCTCTTTATCGCAGGACATTATAAATCAAAGACAAAACATTCAAAGTTTACAATCATCGTCTTCAGCTAATAGGAGAGAAATTAACTCCATTTCGAACACAGCGTCTCAGTTGGACAAGAATGTGAAGTTTTTAGTGGAAGAAAACATTGAACAAGATAGAAAAGCAAATACTTTTCAGGAAGTCAATAATCAACAGAAACGCAAAATTCAGAATCTGAATGAAAAGTATGTTTCACAAGAAAGAAAGATAAATGCAGTTATTGCAGACAAAAATAAGATTAATAGAAATCTAAAGACTCTTATTGATGGAAATGCGAAGAGGGACACTGAGATCAGAACACTTGCGGATGAGAATTTTGAAATAAAAAAGGAAATAAAACAGATATCTCAAAGTAACTTAAATCAGAAAAGAGAAGCAAGGGGACTCGAAAATGAAAACAGTGCAATAACTCGACAAATTAATACATTAATTGGAAAAAATGAACAGCAGGACAATGAAATTGAAAATTTGAAAGAGGAGAATAGAGTTCAAAGTGGCGATATTAGAACATTGACAGGAGAATATGTGGAACAAGGCAAATTGATTCAAACACTAAAGGACAAGAGTGAAGTGATCAATCAAGGAGAAGTGAGAAAGGATCAGTCAGATGGAACCCCATACCAGGCCGTGAACGACGACAGGGACGATTGGAATCAACAGGGCGATACAACGGAGGTGTCACCTGTGGCGTTAAAACTACAAAGGGATATAGATTTCTTACATCAAAATGTCAGCAGTGTAAACGAGAAAATTCTGTCTCTTGAAAACAGTCAGCGATTTATTCACTCAAATCTACATGAAATACGAATTGCCGATAAACGTAAGACTAAGGGGGACGTGTAAGACATAGGGGGACGTTTATTAAGTTTAACTTAATTGTTTTATTACTATTGAATAATTTGCATTTGATGTTAAGTTATTAATGTCTTCTTTGTGATATAAAAATCCCATTATTAATTTACACTAGCTTTTTATAATATTGAGACATTTATTGTTTTCGTTCTTGAACCACTCAAAAGAAGTTATTGTTATTTATATTTTCCATAAATATTTATTATAATGATTGCTTTATGAACTTGTTGTATATAGGGACTGCTGATTATATTATTCATTACCAGAAAACATCTAAAACATCTTATCAATCAAGATGCCATTTTAATGTATAAAAATAAATATAGTAAAACGTAAATGTTGGATTATGAATTTCTCTCATTAGAATATTTCTGTAAGGAAGGTTTTGAACCCTTCTGATTTATTGTATTCTTTGACATTCTACTACTGTGTTTAACTAACGTATAATCTCTATAACCTTTTAGCAGTGTTATACATTAAATATAATCATATTTTTCTCAATATCTTCAAACTAGAATTTACACTGGTTTTTTTAACTCTTGGCAAATATTTTTTTTAAAATATTATATAGTTTTTATTTGCCATGAGCGGTACTATAGTAGTGGAAGATAGTGACATTGATAGAAATGTCAATAGATTCAGAATATGACTTATTCACTCCGCATACTTATGTAACTATCATATAGTTTTAATATGACTTGAGCGGTGTTATATGCGGTGCCATGAGCGGTGCCATAGAATTGACATATATAGAAATGTCAATAGATTCAGAATATGACTCACTCTCATTTTCTTGTGAAAGATTATGTTAAGGCCAAAGATTACAATTATAATCTATAAATACTCAAATATTCGCATTTATTTCTATAATAAACTTTAATTTCTATACCCTGGCGTTTTTTTTTAATCTTTGATAATCTCAAATTTTATATATATTTAATATTTATTTATTGAAAAGAACGTTATAAAACTGTATAAATTTGTACAGAATTAGACCTCTTCTTTCTAATATCCATGTCCATATTGAACTACATGTATGAAGAGCCATCTTGCTTCTCCAATGCTAAAAGTATCGGAGCACTCTTTTGAAAAACAGTGTAGTATATGTAGGTGAATTACATGTATATTCAACGCATCTTTCTTTTAACTAAATTTGCATTCGACTGTAATTAAATGGAACCCTTCATCATTGTGAATTAATGTATACACGCAAAAAAATGCATGTTGAACTTTTAATTAAAAGATTCCAACTTATTTGACTGATGATACCCATCAACGTGGAAGAATTCAAATTATGAATGTTTCTATATGAATAATAGGAAATATTCTAAAATCAGCATTAATTTTATACGTATTTAATATTTCACAAGATTACTTTACATGTACTGAAACAATGATTTAATATATGATGTATATTTATTTTAAATCAATTTATGGAAAAATCATAAGAATATGATTGTTAGAATTTAGATAATTATGTACGTGTATTTTTCCTATCATTATTCAATCAATTATTTATTTACCTTATAAATCAAGATCAACCTATATTTCTTGTGTTAAGTAATATATCAACTCTCATAAATGATTAATGCTCTCACGTATTATATTTACAAACCTTTCTGGACTTTTCAGCGAAATTATGTTTGAATTTTCGAATTATAGGTTATAGAAGGTCTATCTTAGCAAAAGATAGTCTTGCAACATTCATACTTAAAATTTCATCGTGTGGTTTACGACTAATGTATACGTTTCTTATGTTTATTTACCCTAAAATTGTATAGTTTCCACGTCGAACCCTTTCAACCACAGTAAAAACTATTTCTATTTTATATTTATTTGCTCACTCTTCTGTGGCACCTGATCCCACCTCCGATGTTTTAGAGGTCCGTGTTCACTCTGCTCCAAAATTTGTATTGTTTAATGGACTTCTGAGCTTGAGTACTGTTTGTTATCTCCTTATAATTACATTTGCAAATGTTTTCCCTTATATAACACTATTTGAACAAGGCGTTTTTACACCAGTGTAAAACACTTTCGTTATGTGACCATAAATTGATTGTTTAGTCATGAACGATCTACGTAATGAAATATATGAAGATAACGAACAGTATTCAGGCTCAAAAGTCCATCAAACAATACAAAATAGGAACAGAGCAAACACGGACCTCCAAACATCAGAGGTGGGATCAGGTGCCATGGAGGAGTGAGCATCCCCTGCAGACCGGTCATACCCGCCGTGTGCTCCTTGTCATGATCGGGAAATAACGGAAAAATCCGTCGACAATTCAGTGTGTAAATAATGGCCTAACAATTTGTATGAAAAACGTCAGTCAGCATTTGACTCAATTTCATAGTGACGTCCTAAGTGATCGACGTGTTCAACACATTCAAGTTATACCGTTGAGTTTTGAAAAAAATAAATCATTGATGAGTTTAAAACTTTAGTACCTTACTATTTGTAATAAATCAGTCACAAGTGTAAATATAAGTAATAAGGAATCATCTTAAAAGTTTTATTGGGATGTACATACGGGTTGGCATGTGATCAAATCTACCATAAAGCCCGAAGGGCTTTATGGGATTTGATCACATGACCAACCCGTATGTACATCCCGATAAAACTTTTAAAATGATACCTTATTTCTTAAATATTTCATTATATCAAGCAAAACTTTTTTAAAGGTTGGAATATGGCTACTTAAACATGCGATCCATCCTTTTATTTTCAAAAACTAAACCACACCTAGCATGAAAATTTCGATGGTATCTCATCTGAAATATTTTTCTTTGAAAAATCTGTACTGAGTGACAGTGAAAAGTCAGATATGATGCATCTACAGTCAGTTTTTTGATAGCACTTTCAATGTACATCCATAACTTGCATTTTAGATTTATTATGTGTGAATATATCTATCATTTTCGTCCATATATTTCAAATTCGAACAGCTTGACATTTCAATAGAAAAGATTTATCTTTTGACATGTCCTTTACAAATACGAAGCCTCAACAAAATTTTGACAGGAAAATGTTATTTACTGTAGGGTGTCCATCTTAACTCTACCAATTTACATTTAAATTTTCCTGATTAAAAATTTCTTAATGATTAAAAAAAATCATACTAAACTATATCTTTATCGGAAGTGGCATCATAAATCAAAAGAAATTGATGATAAATCGACAACATTTCAATTGTAACAAGTTCAAAATATATTGCCTCATTCTATCAATCATGCTTTATTTAGCGTGGAAATCTAAATCAGCTTTCCAAATAATTAGTTTACGATTTTATGAGATCAATAGACGTTATTGGAGGAAACAAATAATTAAATTGCTGACAAGCAATAATTCAAATTTCTAAGATGGGGGTGTAAACCAATTAGAATTTTCAAAGATCACCAGTTTTTGTGAGTCCTACAATAACATGCATCTGTTCATCTCAGACAACTGAATGTTACGGTAATCAAGACTTCAGTAACATACATGTACAGTGTATACACTCGCCTATAAGTCGGATTTTTGGGAGTTAAATTTTATTCCAAAACGCTACGTCCGACTTATAGATGGTTTTTCGAAAATTTTGTATTTTTCTGGAAGAGGGAATATAGATATCATGTAACAACTACAAAAGTAATCGTTTGTAAAGGGCTAACTCAATCTAAAGCAGGAAAGGAAGATTGTAGGTTATCATATACACAAAACACAAGTGCTTACAGATTTTAATGTCTTTCATTTGTTTAAATTGTTATTAAAAGATCAAATATTAATGTCAGATCCCTTAAACATACTTTGAAAAGCAGGTAAATACGGTAAATACGAAAGAATATTAATCTGAAATTGCATTGACAACAGACTCGAGGTTAAAGACAAGCATACAAACGGCAAACTGGAACCTTTGCAAATAGAGAGGTATTTGTACCCGCTATTGTTTACTTTCCCGATCACGAAAAGGAGCACACGGTGTGACCGTCTACAGGGGATGTTTACTTCTCCATGGCACTTGATCCCACCTCTGATGTTTTTAGAGGTTCGTGTGTGCTCTGCTGACGATTTGTATTGTTTTAATGGACTTTTGAGCTTGATCACTGTTAGATATCTTCATATTTCATTTTAATAAAACAAAGTTCACTGCTTTTCGGATATAAAATCTTTTTGATCTATATATAAATCATTAATATGTACATGTATTATTTTTTTCAACGCAATAAAACTCATCATTATTTTGATTTATGCAGAATAATATCTCTTCGAATGAGATGAGGACTGATAGTTTCTTTTCTTTAATTCATGTTATTTATATAAGAAATTAAAAATTAACAATATGTTGCTACTATTTATCGTGAATTCGAATCAATCTACACAAGAAAAGTTATGATAAATGTGTCTACATAATATGTTCTCAAAATCTTATTTATCTGACGAAAAATACATCTTATCATTTTTTCCCAATTATTGAACTACTTTACAAAATTAACACCAAAGAATGCAAAATTTTAAAGTAATAATTAGGGATGGCAATCTGTAATCAGTTAACCGATTACTTGCCCGGAACGATGGTACTCGGTTTAAAAAAAAATGTATTCGGTTGGTCGAAATAAATACAATATTTGTAAATTTCGACGAAAAATTCTTTCAAAAATTGAATTTTGAAAACCTCTGCTTTAACGTTGATAGGTTGGCGTTTTCACATATCTGGGGGTAATTGATTCTCCGGATTGAGAGCGTTGGGGTACATGTAATTGGTCAGTTTGTGAAATGTTAATTAATGTTTAAACACCATGCTATGCCGTACCCATCTGTGCTGCATTTATTTATTTATATTTATTAAATACACGTAACTGTCGAGTACTGTGAACTGATTATATATTGCATGTTTCTTACCCCGTTCAACCTTTACAGTAACATGTATCTATATCATATTATATTAAACAAATATTGTAAATTAAGTGATAGTTCATATTTAGTTCTGATTATAGGGTGACTATGTAGATTGGC